TTTGTTTGTAGCTGTATTGCAAGGGGAAAAAAAATATTTCTGTTATATTGAAAGCATACTTAACTATAACTTGTCAAATATATGACCACCAACAAATCAGTGCTGTTAAAACACTTAGAGAATTCAAGGTATTTTATACAAGCAAATTATCTAACTGCATAATTCACATGCAAAAGTGAAAAAATACAAGTAGCAAGGCATTAAATGGAGAAAAATTATATTGCAAAAATTACCTGCTTTAGCTTATTATTTTCTTGACAAAGCGGTAGAGCATAAAAAGTACAAAAATTGATCTGGTAAAAATTTAGGTTGCTAATAGTGGGTAGAATGCATTTGGGAAAGGAAATGTGTATGTGTGGAAAAAAGACTGGACGTATATACACCGACATTAACAGTGATATGTCTGGGTGTCTTCATTGGACATGATTGTTTTCCTTCTTGCTTATGTGTTCTTATCTCTGATGTGCACAGAGAACATGCATTAGTTACTTTTATCATAAGCGAAGACTTATGTAAAATTGCTCATAGTATTGTTTTTCCCGTGTGCATTAAGTAATTTCTCTTCCCTCTAAATTGCCTTTGGAAGAATTTTGTTTGATGTCCATAAATCATTCTTATAAACCAAGAAAGGATAAGTTACCTATTCTAACATTTATCCCTGAGGCCACTAGAAGCTAATTGGGAATCTGTGAAATATGAAGCAGATTTCATTTACATTACCTTACTGTTATGCTCAATAAGGTCAAAGGTAAAGGTTTTGTCTCTTTCTGGTCCATAAAATATGGATTGCTATTTTCAAAGTACATCAACACTGGTAATAACTATTCCCATTAGTCAGTCATATAATCTTATGAAATATTGACATGATAAAATAATGCAACTGAGAAAAAAACCAATAGAGCACACGTTTTATTGACAAATAAATGCACAGGCTTAAATGGTCTCTCACCACCTTTATACCTGATTGACATGTTATCAGAAAAATAAAGATTTAAGCTGGCCAAGATCAATGACTTCAGAATGATTCTTTAGTGCTTCATCAGATAAAAATACAAATTCAATCCAATCATAATTCACATTTGGGTTCATGCCACTTTGACAGTTACATTTTATGGCAAAATGTACTTTAATTTTATATTCAAACCTTTTCCCAGCTTTTCTTAGAGAATTCACTTTTTAATTTATGATACTTCCTTGCTCAATTCAAGCTTCATTCACTTTTAGATACTTTGGAAAGATAAATAACTGACAAACTATGTCATTCATGAGCAATGTACTGCCCATAACTTAAGAAAATAAAATAGGTGGCCAAAGATATATGTGTATTACAAATAAATATGTATCATATGTATAAGTGATAAAATAACAATAAATTAGAGATATGTCATAAAAATGCTTTCCCATTTTACTGAGCTTAAATTATATATCATAGTATATTGTTAGGTCATATACATTTTAAGAATGAAACATGGCAGTTGTGGCTTATGCTGAATGTAACTATGTATCATTGTAAGGTGTGCAAGTCACATATTTACATCTTATTACAGACTGCTACTTTCTGCATACACCCATTGAGAAATACTTTCTTTTTCTGCTCAAATATTATGTCAGCACAACATCAATCAACAAAAAACTTGGAAAGCAAAGGTATCTCAGTGTTCCAATTAAAACTTTTCTCCTGGGGCACCTGGGTGACTCAGTCGGTTAAGTGTCTGACTCTTGATCTCGGCTCAGGTCATGGCCTCGCGGTTCGTGAGTTCAAGCCCCACATTGGGCTCTGCACTGACAGTGAGGAGCCTGCTTGGGATTCTCTCTCCCTTTCTCTCTGTCCCTTCCCCTGCTCTCTCTCTCTCTCTCTCTCCCTCTCTCAAAATAAATAGATAAAAATAAATAAACATTAAAACTCTTCTCCAATTTATAAGCCGTGGTATAATGAGTACTCTTTATAAGAAATATAACAAAACAAATAAAAACCAATAACGATAACCATCTATTGAGTACTTCCTGTGAGCCAGGAACACTGGCATATAGATTCCTCCACATGCATTATTATTTTATTTAATCTTATAACCTGCTGTCAAGGTGGAAAATATTATGTCCCCTTGACTGATGAGGAAACTCACATCAGTTTGAAAAAAAAGCCTGAATTCTTGACTGCCATCTTACAAAAAGTTAACACGCGTATATTTGTGCTCTATATACTTGTTTTCCTCATTCACTGGTGGGATCATTCACAGGAACATCATTCACCCGGTGATGAGGACTCCTATCAAAATCAAACCCTAGAGGCTTAAAGTAGCCCTTATAGGACCTGCATTGTAGATCCAGCCTTTAAAGAAATTTTAAACAGTGCACATCCTCTCCCATTTATTTCCCAGATTTGATTAGAAGCAAAACACTTCAAGCATGGTCAAAAATTGCAAATTCTATTACCCTGAGCTAACCAAATCCTGTTCTTCCTATTAGTGACTGAGATGAAACAAACAATAAAAGGAAACAGTGAACAGGAAGGTGACTTCCCCATATCCATTCTGCCCCGGACAAGAGACTATGCCAGTCATGGTAATTCCTTCCTCATCCCTGCTGCTCCGGGTCGGTAAGAGTTCTCAGCTGGCGATGAGATGTACAGTGAAATCTCATGGAGGGAAAAAGATTGCTTCTAGGCAAAGTTCCTGCCCCTAAGAGAATCACAGGAAAAAATAACCTCTTTTTTTTTCTTCTAGATACTGTTGTGACTGGGTAGAAAACAGACTTCCAAAACATCTGGCTTCCAGACTGAAAAAAGCTACCCTTAAGAGTGACTTCAGGAACACATGAAGAGCCTGAGCTCTTTGATGACATCATTAAACCATCAAGAATACCAAACTTAGCACTTACCTAAACTCTAGGTGCCCTGTTAAGTGAGATAATACAGCCTCTACATGTTTAAAACTAGTCGAAGTCAAGTTTCTGTGACGTGCACCTATAAGCACCATGCTTTTTGCCAGCGGTGACCAAATAATGGCCATTCAGTTGCGCATTTAAGATCCTTCTTAATTGACTAGTGTTCCAGTCACTACACCCCAGTAGAAAAATTATCCCAAAACTCAGTGGCATAAAACAACAAGTTGTTGTGCTCACCAGTTCTGTGGGTCAGGAATCGGTTGGACAGGGCACAGGGGGAAGAGCATTTCTGTGTTCCACGGTGTCTGAGGCATCCGCTAGAGGCTTTACAGTCCTTGGAGTCCTCAGAGTCCCTGAAGACTGAGGCTGTGTCATCCAAAGACTCATCTAAAGGCCATTTGCTGAGAACTTAGTTGAAGCTGCTGTCTGAAACACCTACACACAGCCTCATCGTGTGGCCTCAACTGCCTCAAACCACGGTGACTGAGTTCCACAGGTGAACATCCCAAAAGACAGTGAGGACCAGGCAGAAGCCACATCACCTCTGACAAGCTAACTTTAGAGGTCACCCAGGGTCACTTCCGCTGCATTCTATTGCTCATGGCAGTTACCCAATTCTACCCAGTTTCAAGCAAAAGGACCAAGGAAATGCCACTATCACATCAGAAGAATACCACGTGGGATGGGACTGGAAATGCAATCTGCCACGGTTTGCCTCCTGGTCACAATAATTCACATCCCTAGCGTGTGAAAAATACACACATTCCTCTCCTGAGACCCTCACATCTTAATACAAAATCACGTCAAGGTTAAGGATCTTGCCATGTGCATCAGATTCAGGTACAGATGAGGCTCCTCAGATAAGCTTCCTTAAATATAGCCCCTCAAGTATATTCCTCTCCATCTTAAGACCCGTGAACCAAAGAGGCAAGTAGTCTACCCCGGACGCATCCAACATTCAGTAATGGGACTGACACAAAATAACGGCCAAAGTTGGTTCCTATTCATAAACGCAGGACAGGGAGACACATTTATGCTGCTTAAAGGCCCTGTTGTTTGCTTGAGGCACCGCCTTAACCTTTTTTAGTTCTTAATAAAGAGTTTGACAGTCACACTCTTACATTTATCTTTATGAAATGTTTTCTTGACATTATCCTGGATTTGATCTCTAACTGGAAAACATTTCCTAATTTGAGAATCTTAGAAAGTCTGAGATAAGAAACAGTTTTACTCTTTTACTTGGCAAAGCCTGGCTCTTTTATGTTTGCTCTAAATTTCACTTGAAAACTGAACAAGTTCACGAGGTACCTTTCCTCTTTTCTGCATCCCCAAGGTAACACGGTTGACAAACTTTCCACCACTATACCACTAACAAGACTTCTTGACCATTCAGCTTCCCTCATGTTCTTTTAAGACCTCACCGATAGCCTCTCTGAGGGCCTGACTTCTGTTACCCATATACCCTTCTCAAGTTTCTCCAAGAGACTCACCAGGTCTCCACTAAGAATATCTTCATGGCCCTTCCAATTCCATCTTCTACTTAGTCCCAAAAGTCACTTCATCTTGGGCTGTTAGCTGGGACACCAACACATGGCTCTTCTAGGTGTCTTGGCCATCCTCAAAACATGTTTCTTGGATTCCAAAGCAAGAGTCTCGAGAAAGAGTAAGGCACAGCAGCAGCCATATAACCTTCTACCAACTAGCCTCGGAAATCACCCAGTGTCATCTCTGCCATATTCTATTGGTTGAATTACAAAACTCCACCCAGTTTAAATGTGAGAGAAAAAGACCTCACCTCCTGATGGAACAGCATCTGCATCATATTGTAAAAAATAGCATGTACAGTAGAATGCATCGATATGGCCGTGATGGAAATACAATCTGCTAAAGCAAGCTTGGAAATCTGTTTGATTAGGAATAATTTTACATCTACAGACTATAGTTTATATTTTTAAGTTTATTTGGTTATCTTGAGAGTGCACAAGTTTTGGGGGGGGGGGGCGGGAGGGCAGGGGAGAGGGAGAGAGAGAGAATCCCAGGCAGGCTCTACAGTGTAAGCACAGAGCCAGATATGGGGCTCAAACTCATGAACCATGAGCTCATGACTTGAGCTAAAGTCAGACACTTAACCGAATGAGCCACCCAGGCACGTCTACAGACTGTAGTTTATAAGTAGTCCCCAAATCACTGAATCACTGGCTGGATAGAGGACGTGAGTCTGACCAATGTCCAGATCATCCAGAATAAGATTCTATTCCTTCATATGCTTCAGTATTGTTATTTATAAAAGAAATTATTATTGTTTATAAAAGAGATTTCTTAAGTAGATGATCTCTTAAATTTTTCCATGTGAAATATTCTCTAACTCATCTATTTTAAAAGATGCACAAATATTTTCCATCAGCTGCTATCTGTGTAATCTCTGTTACATAGCTTTGCTTAAACATCAGTGTTCTCATCTGTGAAATGGGTATAACAGTGTTTACCTCTTAAAGTAATTATAAGAATGAGGGGTGCCCGGCGGGCTCTGGCTTTGGCTCAGGTCATGATCTCATGGTTCATGAGTTCGAGCCCTGCGTCAGGCTCTATGCTGACAACTGAGAGCCTGGGGCCTGCTTCAGATTCTGGGACTCCCTATCTCTCTGCCCCCTCCCCACTCATGCTCTGTCTCTCTGTCTCTCTCTCTCTCAAAAATAAATAAACATTAAAAAAATTGTAAATGATAAAATAAAAAAGTAATTGCCAGAATGAAAAGATATATGTAGAAATGCTTAAAACAAAACCTGAAATATAGTGAGTACTCAATAAATATTGCCTATTTTTCAATAGAGTGTTCCATCACATTTTGAAAACCATGCTAGTTTGACCATTTGGGAAGCATGTAATCCCCCCAAAAGGCTACTTTTATTAAAATATTAACCAAGATATGTAGAACTCCAACCTCAAATAAGTATGAGTAGAAATTATTCTTTTCTGTTATTTTTAATAGAAAATATTTATTGGTACCAGGCCTGGTGTTAAAGATTTACATGCATTTGATGCTTACATAAACCTTATAAGGTAGTTTTTGGAATTGAAAATTACTACCCTTACCTACACTGCGAAATACTACTATTTAGTAATATTTCAAAGTAATTGCTATAAATTCTCTCTATTTTTAATAGTTTTCCCTTGCCTGAACTATTAGATATACCAGGCAAAATGTTTAAGAGATGCTGAGGGTTATTAATAGACATCATTAGTAATAAACCATAAAGTTAATTTCATGCCCCAAATGCCTCTTATCTTGCTCCCGATTGAAAAGAATTCCTTTGTCTGACCCTGTCAGTCTCACGTCACCCCCAAACCACAGCTAAGAATTGATTCCCATTCTTAAAGAGGCGGACAATCTGCAAACTATAGGGCTCTTAAATACAGAGAGTAAACTGGGGGTTGACAGAGGCGAGTGGTTGGAGGAATGGGCTAAATGGGCGGTGGGCATTAAGGAGGACACTTGTTGGGATGAACACTGGGTGTCAAATAAGTGATGAATCACTAAATTCTACTCCTGAAACCAATACTACACTATATGATAACTAACTTGAATTTAAATTTTAAACAATTGAAAAAACAATTAAACTGATTCCTTTCCCCAGGAGTTTTCAGGGCTAATATTTGAGAAAACTCTGGAAGGGTCTGTGAAGCATTTTCCATACAGATTTAACCTTGACTTCCTTTTTTTTTTTTTTTTTTTTTTTTGTTCCTGCTGGACCAGTATTCATTGGAATACAATTCAGAGACTGGTTAGATGAGCTTATCAGAATTTTACACAATGTTGTCGGCCAATCAGATGTAGAAACTGTCGTTTTGACTTGGAAAGGGCATAAGAAAAACTGGGGTAGGCAATCTCAGATGGGCGGCAGAGTGAAGCACTCCAGATGTCAGCATTGAGTAGGAAGACAAGAATGCCTGCAAACCGGGAACAGGAAGAGAGAAATCCCCCCAAAAAAGTTTATCTCACTTCACACTATTTTCGTTGAGCCTACAAATTTCTGCAGGCCATTTGATTCATTCAAGATGTGAACTCTAAGGTGCCTGATCCAGGGACTTCCTCCAAGGCCGTCCTCACTAATCTCTGTGCTCCAGAGTATAAACGGTTGTAAATAAAATGTGGGGCATACACTAACTCAAGGATGGCAAATAGGTTTCATACCACTTTGCCAAAGCTGATCAATCAGAGTAGTGTCCAAACTTTTTGTTAATATTTTTAAAATTTTTTTAAATGTTTTTATTTTTATTTTTGAAAGAGAGAGAGAAAGAGAGAGAGCAAGCAAGCAGGGGAGGGGCAGAGAGAGAGCGAGACACAGAATCCGAAGCAGGCTCCAGGCTCCGAGCTGTCAGCACAGAGCCTGACGTGGGGCTCAAACCCACAAACCATGAGATCATGACCTACGCCAAAGTCAGATGCTTAACCAATTGAGCCACCCAGGCACCCCTGTTAATATATTTTTTTTTACTTGTGAAAACTTCTATATCCTTTGTGACATGTAGGGAAATGGAGCCGTGGTAAACCACCCAGGTCTGCTACTTGGAGAAAGTAGCAACATATGGCCTTCTTACCTGCCATCCTACACTAGGGGTTCCTTAAGTTCTGACAGTTTATGATGCCAAGCCTAAAAAACCCACGGACCACTTTTCTCTGCATGCTGTCCTACATCATCCCTAGAAAGAGGAACATAGTGAGAGGAGTCTGAACATTAAAAATAATAATAGTGATAATAAAGCTTTGGCTCTACACATTTTATTCTTCCTTTTGGAATAAAAATAAATAACATATTTTATTTGTGATGTTTTGAATTAGATAACACCTTCTCATAGACATAAAAGCTCACAGTCTTAAGTTGGAATTGCTTTTGTCATTATTGAAAGCATTTATTCACACAAGTATAATATACGCCATCCATCTTTGACATTTCAAAATACCCCACTTAATTTTACTTGATTAAAGTGTAATTTTTTTAGCCTTGCTCAGCTTTTCACAACTGATCCTGTCACATAAGGCAGTGAGTCCAAAGAAGAGAGAAATTTTTCAAGAGTTTTAAAATAAAAAAAAATTATATGAACCTTCCTTTTGATAGATAGTTTTTCCGGGTAAAATGCACTTAATGATATGTCTACTACACTTGCTTTTAGGCAAATTTCATAGAGAAGTGGACCCTCAAGTTTGGCAGGGACAGTGTTTTAACAGCCTCATCATGAAGAATGCTTGCATGTCAGATAAAAATATTCTCCACTAACATTAGAAGATTCGGACATTTTTCTTTTATATGTGGTATTCCCCAACACCTACCGGATGAGCTTTGTAAAAATACATATTGCTTCCCCAAATGGTGAAAATGTGTGTTTAGTCACACTACTAACTTACAGGTTTATTCATTAGTTCATTCAGTACATATTTATAGAATATCTACTTTAGCCAAACACTTGGATAGATAATTGAAGAGAAATACATTCGTTTTAAAAAAAAAAAAAAAGAAAGAAATACATTCATTGATTTCAGTCACTCATTCAACAAACCTTCATGAGCTAGGCTTTCTGCTAGAGCTGCAGTGGTGAATAAGACATGGGGAAACCGGCAATCAAACCATTATAATGATTAATCCCAAAGACGAGAGAAAGTACAAAAAAAGCACAGCCAAGAGTCTGGGACTTGGCTAGGTCGTTCCATTAGTTGGGAAATCAGCCTCTGGGGCATATCTAAGAAGTTTGGGAACCAAAAGAGAGAGCATTCATCACAACTCAAAACCCCATTTGGAATGCCCCCAGAGAGGTGAGATAAATATTAAAAAAAAAAAAAAGAAAAAAAAATATTGGGGGAAAAAAACCTCAGGAATTAATAAGGGTAGAGAAATTGGGCAGAGGATTCACAAACTAAAGTGCTGAAATTCATGGCAGTACATTCAAAGGTCTAGTACACTAGAAGATCTTTTTAAATTTATTTTGCAAAATAATTTGATTTGGAGTTATTGATTCTAAAGTCATGATTTTTTTTTTAAATTTAAGTTTATTTATTTATTTTGAGAGAGAGAGAAAACTTGAGTCCTGGAAGGGCAGAGAGCGAGGGAGAGAGAGAGAATCCCAAGTAGGCTCCACACTGTCAGCACGGTGTCCAACAAAGGGCTTGAAACCAAGAATCATAAGATCATAACCTGAGCCGAAGCCAGATGTTTAACCAACTGAGCCACCCAGGTGCCCCTAAAGTCATGATTTTTAAAGGACAACAATTTAAAGAATACATGCTTGAAACAGATACATAGCTCTGTTGCCAGAACTTTTAATCTTCAAAAAAATCTATGCCATTTTTTTCCTGCTGTTTTTCTGCTTACATGTAGTGCTACTTTAAATTATTACTGTTGTTTAAGTATTTGTAATATGATTATATCTTTGTTGATTAAACATACCCATGTCTTTTATATTCTTAATGATTGAGAATTAATAGAAAAGGGGCAAGATCTAAGAAGAACATCACATTCTTGATTGAACAGGTGAAAAGTAAAATCTTCAATTGCTAAGACTTCTTTTTTTAAGTTTATTTATTTATTTTGAGAGAGAGAGAGAGAGAGCCCACACGTGCCCACACATGCATGCACTCACACATGAGCAGGGGAGGGGCAGAGACAGAGAATCCCAAGCAGGCTGGCAGAGCCTGAAGCGGGGCGAACCCATGCGCCACAAGATCATGACCCAAGCTGAAGTCAAGAGTCCTATGCTCAACCGACTGAGCCCCCCAGGGCGCCCCTGAGACTTTTTACTTCTTAATGAATGCAGGGTAAATGGCCCAAAGAAGCAACTATGATAGGATACACTTTTGGAACTCAACAGGTACCAGTGAAATTCCAGATCTATGGAGACCCTGGGCAATGACGTGATCCCTCAGAGTCTTTCATGAGATTCATGCCATGTGTTTGGAAAGTGCCAAGGGCTTTACACGCATAATTGTTCTTCCAAAAAATAAATATATAAATAAAACCCGCTGTGAATGTGGGACCATTAGAATCCCCACTTCAGAGAAGAGGACAAGCTTAGAGGGGGTAAGCCACATAGGTTGACCCCAATCATCAGCTGACCCCAAGCAGCCTGCCTCCTTCCAACTCACTATCCTGCCTCTCTCTTGCCTGCCTACCATGGTACCAGAAACACAGCATGGTACCAGGAGCACTCTGGAGATGTGGGGCTGTTTTCTTTGCTTGCTGTGCACATTTCTTTTGCTTTGCCTAGCCTGGTTTAAGGCTTCCAGGGCCCCTAAGAACTCTGACATGTATCAAATTTTGAAAAGCTGACATATATCATATTTTAAAACCACACTCAACTATAAAGTAAGTCTAAGAATGTTGAGCAAAGTTATTTTTCTCAAGATGACTATGCAGATGCTTTGTTCAAAGATCGAATGTAAAAATTTTTTTTAATAAATGTTTATTGCTCTAGCGTCACTTGGTCCACTAAAAACATACATATGGCATCACCCAGTGTTGGTCTATTTCAACTTAATTCACTGGAGGTGGGGGCAGGGGTGTGGAGGAGAGGCAGCAGTACTTTCTAGATATTTTCCCTACTCAGGGATAATGGGAGGAAGAGAAAGGAAACTGCCTTCTACCTGATCTCTGCATACGCTTATCACTAGAATTCTGCAAGAGTCAGGGTAAGAGGTGACTTTCCTGGGGTTTGAATATCCTGATACCAATCCACGGTTAGCCACCTTAGTCAAAAAGATCTTGGAGTCCCACCCCCCAGGACATTTGCTTAGCAAGGAAGCAAGGC